AAAAAACCAACAACAAAAAACCCTAAACTAGCTGTTACTAGCAGTAAACATAGTCTTTAGGGAAGGGCATTTAGGTGCGACTTGCAGGTCGATATCAGGTATACAATGTATTTCTTGAATTATCAAGTTGTATAGTAAAATGTATTGCGCTCTTTTGCAGACGTTACTTGGTATGTATCGTTGTACAGATGTGCCAGGGGAGTTTGTGTGGCAGCCAGGTACCTTGACACAAGCTGTCACAAAAGGACATTGGATACTTCTGGAAGATATCGACTATGCCCCTCTGGATGTGGTACATGACTTCATTTGCTCTTATAAGCAACATTTTAAAATAAGTGGATCTTGCTAACTGGTTTTGAAGGCTAAATCACAGTATTGTGTTGTCAGATTGGATCTGATGTATGGCAGAAGGGAGTTAGGGAATGTGAATTGACAAATTGATATAACAGGCTCTTTTTCTCTTTGTAGCTTTAGTCCTGCTAATGGTAAGGCTTTTATAATATTTCCTTCATTGTTTCTCACACATTGCTTCTCACTCCAGCTGGGGCAGGCATGAAAAAAGTTCTGCATTAAGCTTAAGAGTAACACTGCCATTTACAGTAATTAATTTCTCAGAGTTTCACAACTGGTATTCATTAGGGAAGCTTTCCTCTTACATTGATGACTGTAGAAAACTACACTTGCTTTTTTCTACAAATAATGTTTTTACATAAATATTTTCCCTTCTAGTCTCTTGGGTATCTGCTGCAAAATGTTCCATCAGTGTAGCTATTGTTTCCTATCTTTTATGGGACTGACTAGGCTTCCAGTTAAGTTTTTATTAGGATATAGGCTTTCAGAAGTAGGGAACTCGCAGCAAAGCTGAGAGAGATTCTACTAGTGACGTGATTTTCAGTATTGTATGAGGTTGCTTGAAATATTAAGAAGAATCCTATTTTGAAAAGTATACTAGAGTTTAATTGATCATTGTTTGTTTGTTTGTTTGTTTTAATGAATCATGTGTAATATATGCTTTTTTATAAGTCTACGTTTGACAATTTTGTTTATTGTGGTCACATCCTTAGTTCCTTCTGGAATCCCTCTGTTCTCCTACACAAACGCCCTGCACATTGCCTTTTCATAGAATCACAGCAAATTAGGGTTGGAAGGGACCTCAGGAGGTTATATAGTCCAATCTCCTGCTCAGAGCAGGACCATCCCTAGCTTGATCATCCAGCCAGGGCTTTCTCTATCCAGGTCTTGGAAAACCTCCAGGAATGGAGATTCCACAACCTCTCTGGGTAGCCTGTTCCAGTGCTTTACTACCCTCCTAGTGAAAGAGTGTTTCCTAATATCCTACCTAAACTTCCCTTGCTGCAGCTTGAGACCATTGCTCCTTGTTCTGTCATCTGCCATCACTGAGAACAGTCTAGCTCTGTCCTCTTTGGAACCCCCTTCAGGTAGTTGAAGATTTTTATTAAATCCCCTCTCAGGCTTCTCTTTTCCAAACTAAATAAGCCCAGTTCCCTCAGCCTCTTTAGAAGTCATGTGCCCCTGTCCCCTAACCATTTTGTTGCCCTCTGCTGGACTCTTCAATTTGTCTACTTCCTTTCTGTAGTGGGGGGCCCAAAACTGGGCACAGTATTTTTATATGTGGCCTCAACAGTGCTAAACAGAGGGGAATAATCACTTCCCTTGATCTGTTGGCAACATGTCTACAAATGCAGCCTAATATACCATTAGCTTTCTTGGCTCATATTCAGGTTATTGTCCACTGTAACCCCCAGTATGTCCACTGTAACATGCAGAGCTGTTGCTTAGCCAGTCTGTCCCCAGCCTGTACTGGTGCATGAGATTGTTCCATTCTAAGTGCAGGACTTTACACTTTTCCTTATTGAACCTCATGAGACTTCTTTTGGTCTAATCCTCCGATTTGTCTAGGTCCTTCTGAATCCTAGCCCTACCCTCCTTCATATTTACTACTCCCCCTAGCTTGGTGCCACTTGCAGACTTGCTGAGAGTGCACTCTGTGCCATCTTCCAGATCAGTAATGAAGATACTGAACAAAACTGGCCCCGGTACTGCCCCTGGGGCACTCCACTTGAAACTGGCTGCCCAACTAGATGTCAAACCATGTCATTCTTTTTGTATTTCCCTTTGTCCTTGCCAGAGTTGCCTATGCCCAGGGCTCTTTGGTCTTGCCTTCCTTTTTCCCAACCAGTATTATCCAGTATTATTTTCAGTCTGGGAGAAGAAAAATTGGCAACATTTTATGTTCTCTTGGGATGATGGACAGAAGTTACAGATATGGGAATGTCTGTTTCCGATCAAATGTTTGATCCAGATGTCCTTTCCTTAGCTAGTGGAAAAATCTTAGGCTTCAAGCCTATGCAGAGGTAGAACTCTCTTTATTGTCTATTTGGCTAGACTAATCAAAAGGCAAAACTTCTCTCTTGTGTAATGCAGGGTTAAAAACTGCCAGGCTTAAGTAAGATGAAAAATAACATGGTGATCATCATATTTATGTTTGGTCTTTATTACAATGTGAATGCCAGCAGAAGGGCACATAGGCTAAGTACAGACAGCCAGAAAGTCCAAGGCTGAATCTATTCAGTCTTTGCACATTAGTCTAAGCTGCATAGATTGAAGCAAAAAGTGAGTGAACAGACGTTCACTTTTGATCCCAAAAATGCAGCCACATGCCTGCAGTGGTCCAAGCAAGACGCCAGGGGGCACTAGAGCACACCTTCTTGTTTGGATGGAGCAGACTGCTTGGGTCAAAGCTAGGGAGGATTTGCAGTGGAGGGGCAAAGTATCCTGATATGCTGGAGGACTGTGAATTAACTTGAATCTGAAGGGGTTCTGGAATAGTTCAATAAATGGATTTAACTGAAATCAGTTAAGTCTGATACTACTTTCATCCAGGTTTATCTTAAATGGGTTTTGGCCATTTTGAAAGTAGTTTATATACATTGAACTTCTGTTGTGTTGTAGATTTGAACCGCTTTCCGATCACTTATACTGGTTTATGTGTAATTTCTGTTCCTAGCCATAGACATGACTGGCTAAAACTTCTACCTTAGAAAAAAGAACTATCACCTCAATGAACTGTTAATTTAAACCTTAGTAATGAATGCTGAAATATAAGTATTAATGAATAGTTCATCTTCTTAACAGAATTGTCTGGTTTTGATGTGTTGAGCACACAATGTTAAAAAGATTTCCTACATGAGTTCAAATAAACCTGAAGTTTTCTGTGGCTCAGGAAAGATGTCACCCCTCTTTTTTGGTTGCAGAAGCCCCTGTTGAACAGGCAAAAAAAAACTTCCTGATTTCAGCTGCAAAAAGATGGAGTGATATCTTCCCGCAGAAGCAGCAATTTCCATTGCTGCTTTACAGAACTGTGTTTTCCAGAGTGCCCTGTACTCATCGATGCACACTCCTGTGCCACTGCCACTGCTTCTTGCAGGGGCTTCAGCTGGAAAGTGTGTAATGGAGAACAGGGGATGGGAGTGTAAGGCTTCCCCCTCTTAATGCAGCACCAAGGGCTTGTGCCCCAATTATTCACCCCTCATTACTCTCTTGGAAAGAGGGTGTAGTAAAATCTTCTAACTGGAAAAAGGTCTACTTCCATTGGAGAGAAGGTATAGTAAAATAAACTAGGGCTTGGTGGTCCTTGTCAACATCTCTTAAAAGCAAGTACCTTTCAGTAAACACTTTCTGGTGGGAGCTGCAGTTACTTGACTAGCACATATATAGAGTGCTCAGTGTAAGTAAGCTAGTGAGCTATGTAGAGTCTGGCTGGGCAGGTTGTCTGTTGCCCCCCCCAAATAAATAAATAAAAATAAAGCCTTTTCTTTTCTTTAGATCTCTGTGCTGATTCCTTTGTTGGAAAAGGGAAAACTGCTGATTCCTGGTCGTGGTGACTGTTTAAAAGTTGCTCCTGGATTCCAGTTCTTTGCAACCAGGAGGTACGCATGTAAAGTCAAATGAATATGACAGCATTACATGGGTTGTTTTTAGGTGAGACCCAGGAATTAAGATTAAATTGCAAACTATAAACATAAAACCTTAAGGTACAAGTCCAGTGCATAGACTTCCTTAATTATAAGAGCACATAAAAGGACTGCATTAAATATATTGAATAGGACTAGCATTTTATACAGCTTTAGCAAGATTAAAGGTTTATAGTTTTCAAACCCCCCACAAATATTTGGAAATATGTGGTACAGAAGAGATGGGAGGATTACAATAAGGCTTATGTAACAGAGCATGGGAGTGCTGCACAAGGCAGCACTGCTAAGCACATCATTTTAGAAACTGAAATTAGTCCCAGTGTAGAATATACTGGTGATTCAACCAAACATAATATTCTGTGAAACCTAATGGAGTGTGTTTGTTTAATTTAGAGTCTTCAGTTGTGCTGGGGGTTGGTACCGACAACAAAATAGCCATGCTGCTCTTCTGGATAAATATTGGACCAAAATTCGCCTGAATAACATGAGTAAAGCAGAACTAAAGGAGGTAGGTGGGATCATGAGCTGTAACAGAATGGAAGTCAGTCCATAATGATGATTACAACCTGAGTTTATGTAATAGGTTTTGTTCTTGTTTTGTTATCCAAAATCCACAACCTGGCTGTATTGATTTCAGAGTTGATAGTTTAGATCTGGAGTAAAGCTGCTGTCTCCTACAGAGGTTGGAAGTGAATTTAAAATTCGCAGTTTATAACACCTCTCCCACCCCCCAAATTTAAGCGTTAAGCACCATTTGAAGAGTCCAAAAACTTTTTCACATTTTGATAGGAAATGGGAATCAATGTTACTGGGCTGCTGTCTCAGCTTTAGTGCCCAATATTAAAATTAGTTAATGTGATAAAAATTACAGAAGCATGTAGGTTGTTTGGTTTTTTTTTTTTAATATATCTTTAGGGAGTATCTATTTTGGTGAGCTTAGTATATCACATAAAATAACTGCTGAGAGACTAAAGCTTGTTTCACAGAGTAATTCTCTACAGCTTTTCTTTGTAACTCCAAGTGCAATTTCAAGGCTTGTAATAGGGAGAAAATTGTTCCCATCAAAAGATCTGAATGGACCTAATTAAATCTGTGAAGACTCAAGGGGCAGTGAAAAGACTTCAGAATGCCTTTTTCACACTTGTTCAGGTGTCATAAATGCATCATAAAATGGAACCTTATGAAGTCTCACTTCTGCCCACCATCCTGATTTTGGCTTTTTGCAAAGGAATCCCCTAGTCAATAATAGCAGGAAGGCAACGAACCTTTTGTACTGCTGGGTCTTGCTACAGTGGGAGCTAACTGATGTACTTATGGCCCTTATATTGCTTGTTAGAAGTTTACCAATCTGTGTACTGGGGCTGCATGCCTCCCAAGAATGAACTCATGTGAGCTGTGATTTCAACAAATTGTTGTTAAGCCAAGTAATATTTTCTAGTATCTTTGAATGCAGTGGTCACTTCCAAATGAGTTCAGTGTAAATCAGTGCACCTTGGAGAACCAATATGGCTATGGTTGGCTGAACAGTTACAGGTATGGTTGTCTGCTGCTGACCAGGTGTTTGATCTAGACCTTCTTTCTTCAGCCAATGAAAAAATATTAGGTTTCAAACATACCCAAGGACAAAACCATTGTATAGTCCATTTGGTTTAACTTTGTCACAAGGGAAAAATTCTGTCTTGTATAAGGCAGGGTAAAAGATGGCAGGGTGAAGTAGGATGAAAAACAACATAGCGATTATCATATTTCTGTCCTGTCTTCACTAACGTGTGCGCCAGTAGAAGGCAGAAGTGTCACTGGCCAGGACTATTTCTACCCTTTGAGAAAAGAACTAGCGTCTGAATAGGGTGTTAATTTAAAGCTTAGTAATTAATACTGAAATATTGACATAAATGAATAGTATTCTTTTTTAGCAGAATTGTCTGGTTTTAATATCTTTAGTGCACAATGCTTAAACAATTTCCTACATGAGTTGAGTTTAAATAATCCTTCACCCGGTTGCAAAATGCTTACCTTTCCCAGAAGACAAGTTCCATCGCATAGTGTAGCTGGTTAGGACAATCTGCAGTATCTTAAACATTTGTAAAATATATTGAATTTGGCAATATGTTTTGATTGGATTTCTCGTTGTAGATCTGATTTAAAGCTGCCAGTTTTAAAATTTTGTACAGAAGCTTTTCTGATGTCTTTTCAGCAACTTTCAGTTGTCAAAACTTTTCAGGAAAGATTTCTGAATTATTTTCAGATTTGACAAGTTTGGGATTTTTTTTATCTGGTCTAATTAATAGATATATTTTTAATTCAGTAAACACTTCTTTAATTTACATTAAATGAGTGCACCTGGAAGTTTCTGAGTTTAAGGTCCTGTAGTATAGAAGGTAAAAGTCCATTTTGTATAAGAATACTTAGGTTTCTACTGGCAACCTAGTGTGCATGTTAGGACTATAATTAAATATGTATGGCTACTGGTTGGCTTCTGATTTTATACAGATGTATTTAATAAAAGTACAAAAAAATTGTAAAGAAAATTGACAAAGGACAAAAAAGCAAATTCTGACTAAGACTCGAATATTTTTTTTGGGTGTCAGTTTTTTATTTTTCCTGGCTATCCTTGATATTTTGTAAATGGCACACACAAAGTGCATAACTCCAATGTGGTATGAAGAAAAATAAATAATGTGGAAATAGTGTGGTACCTCTTCCTGCTTCCAGTTCAACTTAAAACGTGTTGCACGTTCATTGTGAAGTCTGGATGGGACCTTTCTACTGACTGTTGTTAATTTTGGAGTCTTAGGATCAATTGAGAGCAACTCCAGCCCACTTAACTTTGTATTTTGCATTGCATCTGAGAATGGAAAAAATGTTGTTTTCATATGGAAGACAAAAATGGGTTGGAGTTGCTTGTTCATGTCCTGGGAATTCTGTGGAAGCAGAATCCTTAGCCTCCTTGAAGGAGAGGAGGGGGCAGAGAGGTAGCAAACTCCTCCAGTGCTCTGGGCAGAAAGTGAGGTGGGGCATGAGGGGGAGAGTGGGGATGATATGCCAACTGCTGGAGAGCAGGGGGGTAGAGTCTTACTTGCCCTGACTGGCCTCTGCACTCTGGTAGCTCTGCAGTACTATGGTGGCAGCACGTGGTTGGACTGCTGTGGCTGTGGGATGGGTTTACTGTATACTAGCTGCAGCAGTCATGTGGCTTGGGCTCCCCAAGGGCCCTCATTCTGGCATCCCTTCTAAAGTCGTACCTAGGGCTGGTGTCCCACTGACTCTGCTCTAGTTGCATTACTGGTGGGGTGGGAGAGGGGAATGCAGCGAAAAGCAAAAATATAACCTTTTTTAATGGAACCACGTGCAACCTCCTTTGTCAGTAGGAAAGAAGCTTCAGTGGACTGTAGTAGTTACCACAAGTTCTTTCCTGTTGGTCATATTTTTTGGTCTGGTACCTAAAAATTGGTAGCCGAAATTCATAAACCAAACAAAATCAAAATATAGTGTTGTAGGAGAAAAAGAAAAATGCTTGTTTTGAAAATTCTTTCTTATTATTCTTGTCAGTTTCAAAAAACAAACAAACTTGGCAAACCAACACCAGCCCATTATCTGTAAGAGGCTTCATCTTTGGAAACCAAAACTGTGGCTTGTAACCCTTAGAAGTGTTGATGGAAACTCTAACAAAACAGTAAACCATTTTGACCCACCTTTATCAGAACAATGAACAGGTGTTTATGTCCATGATGAGTTCAGTTATAAGAAACATGATACGAATGAGAGAGTGCCTTGTAGCATCAGGTTCAAAGTTGGACAGTCTGTGTTTATGGTGACAGAGTTAAAGTGCTAAATTTTATTTTTGTGTTTCCAGTTAGTCTCGAGTTTCAATATGCTAAATGAATTCTCACTGAAATATAGTCAAGTCCAGCAAGTCCTACTTTGACTTCCATATCAATTTCCTGCCTCCATTGGCCCTATCTGATGCTCCAGAGGAAAGCAAAACCTTCCATAACGTAATGTTCCTATCTGTGTGGGTGGGCATCAGGCTAAAGTTTTCTTTATTAAAAAAACCCCCCAAAATAAAAACCCTTTCTGTCCAGCACCCTAAGTTAGTGGTTTTCAACCTGTGGTCCATGGATCCATGGGGGGTCTGCTGACTATATCTAAGGGATCCACAAAAGATGACATTGATTAATCAAATTATATAAATACCTATACTTACAATTCAAAGGGATCGTCCCCTCCATTCAAAATTTCCAAAGGGGTCTTGTTACCAGATTTGCCCATCACTTTGGGGTATGCTCATAGGGATACGTTTCTGGGGCCTTTGTAATTCTATCAGTGTGCTACTTGTGTTGCTTGTGTTTCTATATGGAGCTGTATCTCTCCCTTCTGCAAGTGTTCACCCCCAATGGAGCTATCTTGCAGGACTTGGTTTTAGTGGGGCTAAGGTTCTTCCAGCCACCACATCAGTCTCTCACTCTCTCACTCAACTCACTCAACTCACTCACTCACTCACTAACGTGACATGCCTGACCTGTCTGGGTTGATCAGCATGTACAGGCTGACACCCTCATTTGCCAGGAATCAGTTCATTATGGTAACAGTAAAATGCAGTCAGACACAAGCAAACAGGTGAACAGAATACCTCTGAATCCGGCTGGGTGTCCAGCTGTGACACCCTCATGGGCCAGCATTCAGTTCATTAGGGCACGTCTGAACCAAACTAGGTCAGTCAGCCTGTACAAGCTGATCCCCTTATGTGTCTCAAACTCAGCGTGTCCCAATCTTTTGCCCTAGCTATCCTAGTAGTGGTAGCCTCTTGATGAGTGGACCCCACAGTATTTCTGGGCTTTCCAGGGATATTTGGCTTAGGTAAAAAAAAAGTGTTGCTGCAGAGCAAGTGGGGAAGGAGAAGTAGAGAAGGAAACAGACACCCAGTTACCACCAATTTGACTATAAAGTTATTTATTGCTAAGTATATGAAATGTGTAATGGTACTAGTAATAATAGACATGCAAGGAAAAACAAATAAAAC